TTGTAATTTTCCAATTAGATCAGAGCCTCACCAAAACCCACTGACATGCCTGCTGTTGAGAATCGGACAGTTGTCACCATGCTTCAAACAATTGCTTCCTCTTTGCCTACAGGATACAGAATATACAATACATTAGGATTATTTTCACAGCAGACTGACCACAGGGTTACAGATGAATGTCACACTAGTGAAAGCCAAGTATAAACCAATGTAAAAAAGCAGAAAGTCATATGGGATTAATACCCCACCCTCCTAAAATAGGTAAATAATAAACAATACGATTCACCAAGTTGCTGGGCATCACTCGAGCCACATTTACAGACAATATAAGCCCAAAGCAGTTTAAGTTCGCCAGGAACCTAAAAGAGCTTGTACAGCCTCTGCGTAGTGTTTGTGTGTTCCTAGGCAAAGGAAGCAGAGAGAGCTGGATGGCTTAGCGTACCGTGGCAGTTTGGAGGGGAGGCTGCTGTACAGCGACGACCGTACGTGCGAGCGCTTTCTGTGAGAAGTTCTCGCCGTGAGCCTAAAAGCGCTGTTCTGGCTCTGATTAGTGTTTGTGTGTTCCCAGGGAAAGGAAGAAGACAGACAGGGATTGCTTAGTGCAGCGTGGTGACACGGGAGTCTCGGACACAACATGCACGATCAATGTGATCAAGTTAATGCCACTTTATTAAAGGATACACAGCAATTTATACACTAGCACAAAGCGCACGTGTTACGTTTTGGTTGCTATTAGGTTAAAGTTCACACGCCTTGCTCTGCCATACCTACATTTTGTTTATACAAATTTTTATCTTCTTTTTTACATTCCAACCTCCTTACCTCTTTGCAACATAGGCAGTTTCTCAAAACCCCAATTTCCTTATCTCTTTCCACCTTGCATATGTCCTTCACAACAGCTGCGGTTGTGAGGCCCCTCGGTCTGGATCGCTCACAACGTGCCTATTTGCTTCCAGCCACTCCACTACTTTTAGCAAGCATACAAGTAATTATCGTATGCACTTGTAGCACTCGGCCGGCATTATTAATTTCCAGACTTGACTCAATTACAAGTTTTAAGAAGAGCTCCTTTCTAGCATATTCATAGTTCTGGTGAAAACAGACATACTCCAGCAGCATGTGAAGTTTTGCCTGTAAAAGGGATGTTCACAAAACAAATCCATCCTGTATCTTGTAATTTACTTTGATATGAAAAACCTTGAACAAAAAAATATGCTGTGTCAGCAATCAGACAGTTAAACAGAAACTAAAAAGGTGACTAGTCACTTCAGCAGACCTGAAGAGCAAGTACTTTAAAATTAAGTGAGTGTTTTCATATCATCTACCATTTCTAGTGGGTCAGACTTTGATGTGATACCTTACTACAGCTTGTTCCGCTACTCAAGTTAGAGATGTGTCCATCCTTAATTGTGTATTCAGGGTCTCGGCTCTGTTGAGCAATGTTGAAATAAGCCTAATAAGCCTACTGACTGGTACAGCATCCGAGCCTCGCACACATGCAAGCTCACAGAAGAAACTTGGCAGGTGAAAGTCAAAGACACTCCTCCTTTTTCTCTTATTTTCTAAGCATTTTTCTTTTAACTTCAGTAGCATAAAGATGATAACACAAAATGGTGCTAAACAGAAACCACTCAGCAAGCATGACGACTTTCCAAAGTCAAATACCTGTGTATGTCCCTTTTTTTTTATCCTTTTCTCCTATGCTGAATATCCTAATACAAAGACAAGGACTTCAAACACTGTCACTGTGAGATCCAAGCAACAGCATTCCAGAAATTACTCCAGGAAGCTGCACTGCCATCCTGCATCCCCTTGTTTTGGTCAGTATGTGTTACAAAGCTATCTTAGCATACATAAACTAAACTGGAGAAGGCAGTCCAGTTTTATGTTAGTTACTTCAGCAAAAGTCAAGCACATAATCTTCTTCTGTAGCACAGCACTTCTGCCTAACTGGAGAGGAACACTGACTGACAGGAAAATCACAGACGCATCAACACATACCAAGTGCTGGATGAAGGAAAACACTTGGCCAATGGGAAGCAGACTCAACATAGCCAGTACTGTGCTCTTCAGAAGCAAAACCTTGTTTGGTTTAGTATCAGCCTCAACTCAAAGTGAACAGAAACATAAAGTGGGTTCAAAATTATCAGGTTTCTGTAGAAGTCTTCTTCTGTTTGTAGGAACTGCTAAACTACATAGGATTAGCAGCAGGTAAACAAATCTGGGAAACTGGCAGTAGGAGATACAAAAAAAATACAAAAATGATGAGGATCTTGCGTAGTATCTGTCCATGTAAGAAATTGGTCTCCCCCCGCCCCGCCGGGCTCCGGCAGCCTCTCTCCCTGCCCCGAGGCTGTGCCCGCCTCCGACCCAGCCCCGGCCCCTCCTCCGCCTCTTCTTCCTCCCTCCCCGCCCGGCCCCGCAGCCCACCCTGACCCCTGCCCGGCGGGGGTGCGCGGCGGCGGCGGGGCCGGCAGCGGCACCGGGACCCCGCCAGCGACGGGGGGCGCCGGCAATGCCGGCGGGGCGTCTCCTTCGAGGAGCCGCTGCCGCTCCTGCCGCGCTGCGGCTGCTGCGCCGGGTCCCCGCAGGCCCTCGGGGGTGGAGACGGGGGCCCGGGGGCGGGCGAACCGGAGGCGAGGAGGCAGCCCCCGCCCCGCCCCGCCCTGCCACACCCCGCCCCGCCCCGCCCCGCCCCGCCCCACCCCTGGGGCCCCTGGGGCCCGGCCGCGGCCCCCATGGGGCGAGCCCCGCTGCGCACACGGCCGAGCGGGCCCCCCCCACCCCGGCCCGGGGGCGGGGCTGCTGCGGGCACCGAAGGAAAGAGCTGGGAGCCAGCCGGGGATAATGTTGGGGTGGGGGGTTGCAGTGGGATTTGGGGTTTCAGGGGGAGCGACAGCAGCTCGGAGAAGAGCAAGCACGCTCGGGCCCTTAGGAACAGGGAGCTGGGGTGGGGTGTGCCTTGATCTCTGTACGAATCGTTATGGACTCCGAATTAAAACACTGGGTGCTGGTTATGGACCTTGAGTAGGTACCAGAAGGGACTGGTGTTCGTTTGGAAGATCAGACAAAGATGAAATGAGCGTGTGCAAGGATGGAGTTCAACCGGCGCACACGGTGAGGAAGACTATCGACGTGCACCAGAGGACCCCCGTCCAACATATCCACGCGTGGGTTAGAGACATTTGCATATGATAATGCTTTCCAGGAAATAACATGAATATGCTAATCATTGCCCTCCCCTCTTGGTATTCAAATCAATCAGTAAAGTTGCCCAGTGATGTCCAGTGTACCATAACGAGATGGTATCCAACTAAACAGCTCAGAAAGTGAAAATCCACTGGGAGCTATTGTGATCTGATGTAACATTTAGAAAAGTTTGGAAGTGGTACAGGATGTTGTGTTGATTTTGTTGAGATTTGTTAACCTCGGCACAAGAGGTGCTGTGAATCAATGCACGGGCACCTCCTTGGTGCAGGGTAAGCATAGCAAGTACTAGATGATTTTGTGCCGCTGTCAAAGCTAAAGGAGAATTTTCCTGTTGCGGGGCTGAAGTGGCATCTGCTGTGCGATTGTCTGTGGCTTCCATGGCAGCAGAGAGATTTCTGAGAGCTCTTTCTAGTTCATTTACCCTGACTGTGGGGATTAACGTTTTCACTAAACAGCTCCAATCCTGGGGGGTTCCTCAGACAGTGGGGTGACGAGGTGGAGGGTCAGATCTACGCGTGGGGCAGGGGCTGCGTTAACCCCCCACCTCCCACTGCAGGAATGCCCGCTGGCAGGGGCGCTGTGAAACAATCCTCAACCCTTTAATGACTGAAGAAGGAAAGAGAGAGATGGGAGAGGGCTGGGGCTGGGGCTGGAGCGGGTGGGTGCGGGTCGCATGTCCCAGGGGTTGTGCCCCACAGCTTCTGTGCCCAGCTGTCAGAAGCGGCCGGGGGGGTGTGGGGCACTCTGCCCCCTGGGGTCCCTCAGGGCTCTGGCTCGCTTGGTGGGCACGCTGCTGCCGTGGGATGCTCTGCGCTTGCTGCTGCCCACCGCTGCGCTGTCCCTGTGCGGCAAGTGGGTCCAACCCCCCCGGGGCTGCCTCCGCAGCGCCTCCCCCACCAGTGGGGCCCTGAGGGGCGGATGACACTGGGGGGCAGCCGGGGGGCTGGCCGGGGGGCTCAGCAGCGGGATGCGCAGGGGGCTCAGCAGGGCACTCTCCAGAAGACCCTGCGGGGGATCCTTCCAGGGACTCTCCGCAGGACGGGCCTCTGAAGTCTCCTCGGAAGTCTCCAGGGAGCTCTCCTCCTCAGCAGACTCCGAGGGGCTCAGGGGCAGCCGGGTGGGGAGGTCTGCTGCCACCCCACCCTGCTGCCCCTTGGGGTCCTGCGAGGGGGAGGCCACCGCCCCCAGAAGGGGTCGGCGTCCCCCAGCATGGCCACTGCCAGGCCGACCTTGGGGCCGTTGTCCTGCACCCCATCCTCCAAGAAGTCGGGGACTTCACCGACGGAGGTGGTGTTGGTGAGGCTGTGGAGGACATCGGGGAAGGTGTTCTCGCCGGCCACCATCTCCACTGTCGCCGCCTGCTCCTTGCAGCCGCCCTCTGCCCTGTGCTCCGAGAGGTGGGGGAGCTCGTTGAGGGAGGTGGTCAGGTTGGGGATATTGGGGACAGTGTCCTCACCATCCCCCAGCCCCGCCGCCACCGCTCGCTCCTTGGGGCAGCTGCCCCCTCCCACATACTCGGAGAGGTGGGGAAGCTCATCAAGGACCTCGACAGTCAAGCGGGGGACATCGGTGCTCAAGCGGTTGTCCGTGCTGTCCCCTGGCTGTGCCATCACCGCTTGGTCCGGGGGGCCGTTGCCATTCACCATGTCCATGGAGAGGTCCGGGAGCTCATTGAGGAAGGCGGAGCTGGCCAGGCTGTAGGGGAAATCAAGAACATCGGGGCCGGTGTCCTCGCTGTCCCCCAGCCCCGCCACCGCTGTCTGCTCCTTGGGGCAGCTGCCCTCTGCCACATGGTCCGAGAGGTCGGGCAGCTCTCGGAGGAAGGCGGCCAAGCTGGGGCTGTCGGGGCCATCGGGGACAGTGTCCTCACTGTCCTCGGTGTGGAGCCAGGCGGTGGTGTCCTCTGCCTGCTCAGGAACGGCCTCAGCGAAGGCGGCTGGCCCCTGCTCGGGCAGGTCTGTGCGCTTCCCGGGGGGTGCTGGAGTGGTCACCACTGCTGAAAAAGCAAGCAAAGAAAACCAGCCCCTGGTGATGCAAGCTCTCCTTGGCTTGGCCGCCCACCTGCGGCTCTGCCACCCCCTAAAACTCACCCTTGGGCTGTGTGGTGGGTTCGCTGGTCGGCGGATCAAGGGCAGGGGGGTGGGGGGTGGCAGCAGGGACGCTGTCCTCAGTGGCCACCACGTCCTTGTTGGAGGCCTCTGATGGCTTCTGGGTGCTGCCGGGGAGGGTGTGGGGCACAGGGGGGCCCTGCACCCAATGCTGAGTTGTGGGGTGGCGGGGTGGCGAGGGGATGGGGCGGGCAGGGACGTGCCACAGGCAGGAGCCTGTGGGGTACAGGGGATCCCCCTGGAGCACAGCCCCTGGCCCCAGCCCCATTGGCTGGTGGGGCACCAGCGTCCCCAGCACCAGCCGCTGTCCCCAGCTGTAGGCAGGGGGACAGGGAGCAGCCACAGGGGAGAACTGCACCCCAGGGGGGAGCTGCACCCCAGGGGGGAGCTGTACCAGGGGGGGAAGTGGCACCATGGGGGGAAGTGGCACCCTAGGGGGGAGCTGCACCCCGGGGGGGAGCTGCACCACGGGGGGAAGCTGAGCCCCAGCGGGGAGCTGCACCCCAGGGGGAGAGCTGTACAATGGTGGGGAGCTGCACCCCAGGGGGAAGCAGCACCCCGGGGGGGAGCTGCCCCGGGGCCCCCATGGGCCCTGGCACCCCCTGCCAGACGCTGGCCTGTGGCAGCTGGGAGGTGACGGGGTGGAGCTGGGCGGGCTGGGAGGACACCGGCAGCCCTGGGACGGAGAGCAGCGTGCCGGCAGGGACCGGTGGCGGCATGGCCGGAACACTGAAGCTCTGCAACCCTGTCTGCCGGGGGGGTTGGAACGTGCCCCATTATGGCATCACCTCCTAACGACATCACACACGCAGGGGCCGGGACCGGGACCAGCTGTGAGCCCCTCCACGGGCAATGGGGTCCTGGTCCCCCCGGCCCCCTCGCTCCATGGCCGCCCTCAGCCTCTGCTCAGCCACAGCCCAGGTGACACCCACCCTGTGCCTGCACCCTGCTGGGGGCTGCTCTGGGCAAAACCAGCCCTGGGATGCCCCCGCAGCTCATTAATATTATTTAGCCTGGATAGGGAGCTCCCCGGGGGGAGGCCCCAGCTGCCCTTGCAGCAGCCCACGCAGGAGGAAGCTGAGGCCCAGGCTCGCTCATGCCAGTGAGGAGGCCACAAATCCTCTGTCACTGCCGTGCCTGCGGCCAGTTTGGAGGGGGGGAAGGTGCTGCCTGGGGCCGAGGAGAGGGGACCCCCAGGGGGGACGGGGGGCCCCGTCCTGACTCCTCACTGGCTTCACTCCCGGGCAAGTGCTTCTCCTCTGCGCCAGGACGGAGAGCACAGCGGGGGCTGGAGAGCGTCCCCAGGAGCTGCATGGGCTCGGGGGGCATCCCTGAAGTGGGGTCTGTGGGAGCTGTTCGTGTTACATTGTGAAATTTTAGTCTATGTTTTTGAACAACTGAAGACATAATAGGCACTGGTTCGAGGGTCTTTCTGAGAATGTTTTACTAGTGTAGGCTTAACTGCTGCCTGTGGCATGATAGAATTCAATAGACCGGAAAAGGAAAAAGACAGGAGTTCCCCATTCCTTGTGGAAAGCCTGCACTTCAGTATTAGTTCTCAATAAACCCTGCAGTCCATTACTGACCTGCGGCCTGGGGACTTCATTCCTGCGAGCTGCTCCCACAGGTGGCTGGGAGGGAGGAGTGTGGTCGCAGTGGAGAAGAAAACCACAGGACTGTGCTCTGAATCCATGTTTTCATCATCATTAAAATTGGGTTTGGTCTGACAACAGGGAGAATAGTATTAAAATCTCACCCTTCCCAAACTAATTTGGATACTATGTCCTGTGGTTTCAGATAATACAAGTAACCAGTTTTCTCAGTTTTTATAGTCCACTTTGTCATGGTAAAAACTTTTGTTTCACTAATTTGAGCAGTTTGTTTTTTTCTAGACAAAGTAGTGGGTTACATTTACGGCTGATGGTTCAGATTGGTGTTTTTCTCTGGGTTTTGTGGGGTGTGGTGAGTTTGGCATTTTTCAGCTCCTTGACAGGAGGGGCAGAGTTCATGTTTCAGGGCTCATATGCCTCGTGCTTCATTTTGACAGACAACTATACTTTGTTCGCAAAAGCATAACCATGTGCATTTATACGCGATTAGACATTAACTGATTACTTTACAAACTACACTGAAAAGAAGCTTCCTGTAGTGATGCTTCCCTCTCAGATAAGCATAACTTTTTAAAAATTCCCTGTTAGCCGAAAACTGACAGCTTCCCCCTTCAACTTTTAAGCACTTGTGAGCATCTGACAAGGGTCCCTCTCTGAGATATTCTGGAGCAAGTAAGTGGATCTCAAGTGAGGTTCGGTTGTTTTTAGTTCCTTCTCATTAACCACACTAGGCACTCTTAAGCTGTCATAGGTTTGGATTTTGTTTTGAACAAATACCATTACACTAGGTTGGAAATGCCTTTTTCAGTGACACTCGGAGGATATAGTGCAGACTTTCAGGATACAGTAGAGGTTAACTATTGCTATATTTTGATGGTAGAACTTGAATATGTGCTTGATTTTTTGCGAACAGATTGATGAGTCTTCTGCATCAATTTCTCTGGCGCAGCTTATTAAGGTATATTCTTGTCAAATACTTAAAAAATAACAAGTGTTTGCTTTGTATTTTTAAATCTTATACTGTGATCTGTAGCTGGATAACTGTTTTAATGTGAACAAAACTTAATTTTTAATAATTTACAGTACTTGTTTTAACTTTAAATATGTGTGTGCTATATTTTGTTACTGTCTTGTAAAGATTAGTTCCCAGTTTGGGAAGATAGAAGGGGAGTAACTTCTCAGCCACAACGTACTGTTGCAGTATTACTCACCTTCAGAACACAACACTTCAGAAGCTGTTTTGCTGTTTCTCAGATTTTTTCCGTAATTTTGCACTGGAAACTAACAGAATTTTCACAGAATAATTTAATTTGCTGTAAGTTGTGAACAGCCGAAAGAGAAGCGTTCCTGTACCATGCACAACTGCATGGCTATTTTCTAATTTCTAGTCACTGTATAGATCCATTTGTGGAACGCTGCACAGTTTCATGTAGACAGTGGACAACACAATCTGATTTGTTTGAATGCAGGCTGTGGAAATTGTGTAAATGTACCTAATGGTTTGTAGGAACATACCACGTGTACGTGTGGCATATTAGCAGATGTGACTTTCCGAAGCTGTTGTAACGCCATGTTTTGCTATGGAACTGCTTGCATTATTTGCTCAACGCTGTGTAACTTTGTCTGGGAAAGCACTAGTGATTGCACTGTGTGAAAAGGAGGAGTGCTAGCCAGGGAAATTACTAGTCTTTAAAGTGACAAGGATTAGAGAAGGTAGGGCCCAGTGCAGAGGAGCTAGTTCTTTCTTCTGAAAATAAAGGCTGGAGTTCATTACCAAGAAAGAGAAATCTCCTCTCCCTCCCAATGCAGAATTAAATTGTGTATATTTGGGAAGACAAAAAAAAAAAACAAACCAAACAAACACACCCAATTAGTTTGGAAGGTAGCCACCAAAAGAAATTGGTCTCCATTAGTGCTGTCCCTAAACGTACCCTTGGTTCTGTAAACTCATGTGAAGTTTTACTCTAAAATGTGAAATGCTGTCAAAGTGGTGTACGCATTGAAGCTTTCGAGAAAATTTAAGTGTTTCAGAAAAATGCAGGAACATGGCATAAAGCAGCTCAAAACTGTTACTTATTCTAACCTCTTCAGTGCAGACTGGTTTAGCATGGAGGCAACGTGTTGCAAAAAAGTTTTCTGCATTATTATTACTATGTATGAAATGCTTTATTTGAATTTTGGTCTATTCCTAGTAATGCTTAGTCATTTTGGGACGTGTTTTGTAAATGGTTTGGGTTCAAACAAATCAGTCGAGTATCTGTAAAGTTTTCTGTAAATGTTAATGAAAGTTATTTCATGGATGTCAACCTGGATTATGTTACGGATGAGAAAAAACTGTGTCTATGAGACGGTCATTTAATGAACCGTTGAAACTAGCTGGTTACTTTTGTGAATGAATGCATATAAAAACAGACACACCAGTGGTTGATCTGAGTGACAGGTTCCTTGAAGGTCCAAATCATTTACAGTCGCTCCCTTAGGCCCTGCTTGTGTCTGCACTAGTGTGTAATAAAAACATTTGAACAAACACTACTGAAAAAAAAATCAGCTGGCTTCAACAATGTGACGATCTCGTTCTGTGTAAGGTTTCTGTTACAATTTGCATGTTAAAAAGACACAGTCAACTGGAGAAGAACTGCAGGTTGTGCTGACTGTAGTTAAATCCCTTCATATGAAGAAGTTAGTAGGCAGGGGACGTGCCGTTTGGCTGCCGACAGCACGTGACGGTCAAATTTCTACCGAAAAGAATTTTTCCTGAGGCATTATAAGAAGCTTGATTCCTTTTAAAGCTTCTGTGTCTGAAGCCAAATTTCAGCAAGCAACATCTTCCCCAACTCTTAAGTTGTGTGTCCCTTTAATGCTGGAAAATGTAAATAATGATACTTGCATAGAACTCTCTCAACTAAATGTACAGTGAAGACCTTCCCCTTCAAATAGTCTGGAGCTTGAGAATCAGTTTAAAACTACTGGATAATAATTTTTTTTCTACACATAACTTCAATCCACTTGGAAGAAAACTGGACTGGTTACGCAAGACTTTATGTAAGGTACAAACAGAGCCTAAGGTTTTGAGTGCCCAAGAATGCTCTTTTCAAGTAGGTTAAGAGGCACATAAACACCACGTCATGGCAGTAAGGACTCCCCAGAACACCTTCAGGAGAACTATATTTTATATAAGCAGCTGTTTTCATGCAACCTCAGCTAGGGTGGTGCTGCTCTTTACAGGATTAGGTGAGTGGTGTTGTCTTCAGGCTGTGCGGGCTTAGATGTGTTTCTAATGTGTGTGTCAAATAACTGCCTGTTAAACAGACTGCCAATCTGGCTGAAGCCAACGCTTCCGAAGAAGACAAGATAAAAGCTATGATGATACAGTCTTGCCGACAGTATGATCCAATCAAGTAAGTGTTGACAATGTCAAATCTGTTCTCTAAAGGCTATGGAAAAATTGTAGAGATGTTTGTTTGAACAAGAGTGACACATGCATACCTTTTTCTTTTTTTTCCCCAAAAAATTTTAGTTACATGAAGAAATCCTTGGGTCTACCTCCACCATCATATACTTGTTTTCGTTGCGGAAATCCTGGCCACTATATAAAGAACTGCCCAACAAATGGGGTAAGATTGTGGGGGACTTCTGGTGTTACTTTGTTTTTAATTGTTGTACCTCGGCAGTTATGTGACAAATACATGAATATTCATCTTGAGAACTTGTTCCTCTTGGGGTGAAATACAGAGGTTATATGGCAATGGTGCAAAGCCCTTCAAAATTCCAAGGGAAAGATGGAATTTTCAACATGAAATTTTCTTTTTATCTACGTCATAGACATTACATGTGCCCACAGATCTTCCTCCTGTGAACTTGAATGCATATCTTTATATATTTCAATATTGCTGGAATTTTTCTGTTAGAAAGTTCAAAACACTGCTCAAGCCTGTGGAGCATCCTGGCTATATTCATCAAGCAACCCTTAGGCTGAGTTAAAGGGGAGGATTAGAGGCTTTTGCTGCTCAAAATAATCAATGAAATGTCATTGTAAGTGTGGGTCTTAAGATGAGATATGTCCGTATTCTCTTTTCTTATCAGGACAAAAAATTTGAGTCTGTTCCCAGAATTAAAAAGAGCACAGGAATTCCAAGGAGTTTCATGGTGGAGGTGAAAGATCCCAATACGAAGGGTGCTATGCTGACCAAGACAGGAAAATATGTGATACCAACTATTAATGCGTAAGTATGGAATTACTGGGACTGACCAAAAAGTGAACGAGAGAAGCCGTGCGTAAATGCCTGAGTGACAGTGCAACCAAGTTGGCCATCGTCTGTAATTACGGGGGAGGAAGCACTGTCATTGGATCTTAACCTTGAAATCTGTGACACTTTCTAATATTAAAACAGGGCGCTCCTGCTGTTTGTGTCCCTGGAAATTGGTTAAGCTGCTGGTATGCTCAGAATCTGTACTTCTACAAAGCATTTCAGTAGTGTTTACAGTGGAGTCGTTCCCTTTGAAAGCTCCTTTTGCTTCTGGTTTACGTTTCAAAAGCTTTTTGAAAAATTTACCATAGAGCTGTTGGACTGAGATGTCCTTCCCCTCTGGCTTTTACCAAAGCCCACGTGTGAAACAGACTGACAATTTCCTGTTGCTATAAATGAAGAAAGTACTACTGTGTGCTGACAAGAGTGGCTGTTTTAAAATGCACTTGGAAGCACTTCTGATTTTCTGTCATGGATCTCCTTTCGTAGAAGCTGTGACACGGACTTCCATTTATAAAACATAATTACTCAGAGACTAACTTTACCCCGAGCCTGCAATTTACATTCACCCTCTGGCAAAGGAGAGGTGGGATTCATGTCACCTGATTTCTAGCTGTCAAAAATGATTTTTCCAGTCTGAGCTAATTTCTTAGATGATCCAACAAATGGGAAAGTTCTGCAGAAGGAAGGTTGTTCCCCCCCTCCCTCTTCCAGTGTTGTGACTCTAGAAGAGTAGTTTAAACTAAATGCCTGTGGTTGTGAAGGCTAATGTGGAGTGAGAATTCCATCTATCATCCTCCTTTCATAAAAGCCAAAGCTTGGAGAAGTTTTCCTTTATCCATCTTTAACTTTTTTCTTTTTCCTTCCCCACCCACCCTCCAGGGAAGCTTATGCTAGAGGAAAGAAGGAGAAGCCTCCCTTCTTACCAGAGGAGCCATCCTCTTCCTCCTCAGACGGTGATCCTCTTCCAGAGGAGATGTTATGTCTCATTTGTAGAGATATCTTGACTGACGCCGCTGTTATTCCCTGCTGTGGAAACAGTTATTGTGATGAATGTAAGTGTTCCTCCCATGTTTGTTAGCTCAAAGCACCACATCTGATCTTCTGAAAGCAGAAAACAGGAGATAACAAAATTAACTTTGCTAACAGCTCTATTTAATACTTAACTATACCCTGATTGGGAAAGAACCCTGCTCATAGAAATGAAGACAAAAAAAAGCAGAAAGCTTTTTTCCCTTTTTATGCATCTAGTTCAACCCTCTTTACTTGCAGAGGGACAGGTATGAGAGGAGTGCTTAATTGTGCAGGTGATTACAGTATTGGATATCAAATGCATTTGGCTTGTCCACAGCCTTTTCTCTCATGCAAAACTCTATGGCCAACTCGGGTGACTTCCTGTGATCTGCAACAAATGGCTAGTTAGGCATGTGATCCACATTCTGCTCCATGGGAGAGTCGGTTAAAACCTTCAGGACTTGAACATACTAATGACTGAGGTGTGTTTTACTCATTAACCCTTGAGGTTGGTGACTTCGCACTGTACTAGATAGTGGAAAAAAGACTAGTTGGAACATCAAGACACAGGCCTACTCTACATCTTCAAATATTACAAGAGTGAACTGTCAAAACTGTATAGTGTTTTGCTGCGCACTATCAATTTTTTACACTACTGAATCATTTATAGATTCAGGCTCTCAATTCAAGACCATATTCACCATCAATCATTTAAGTGTTTTTATAATCGATTAGAACCAACAAAATTTCCTTAGTTTGCCTACGAACTATTCTGATGATTCTAATTATTCACAGGTATTAGAACAGCATTACTGGAATCTGAGGAACACACATGCCCAACATGTCACCAGACAGATGTTTCTCCTGATTCTTTAATTGCCAACAAGTGCCTACGCCAGGTAACAGGAAGATTTTTACATCAACTGTTTGTAAGAAAAGTCTGTTTGTAAAAATCTGAAAGAGAAGAAAATACTAATTTACATCTCCTTAAGCAAGGCTGACTGAATAAACTAGATTTATTTCTCAAATACATTATCTGTTGCTACAGAAGCATACAACTCTTTAGAGACAATCTGGCAAATTCAGGTCACATTTTTGTTTAACGTGATTGCCTCAGTTTGGTGTTAACACTGAAGTACTTTAAATACAGATACTCTGAGTTACCAGTCATTAATATCAGTGTTTAATGTGATGTGTTCATACAGCACAGAACGCTTTGGGCTGGAAGGGACCTTTAAAGATCATCCAGTCCCAACCCCTTCCCACCAGCCCCGTCCAACCTGGCCTTGAACCCTTCCAGGGAGGGGGCAGCCACAGCTCCTCTGGGCACCCTGGGCCAGCGCCTCCCCCCCCGCACAGGGAAGAGTTTCTGCCTTATGTCTAATCTGACTATATCTGTATGTTGGCTTATTTTAGGATTGATAGTATTTATGGGAACACAGGAGTAATTTTACTCTGTGGAGGCTTTTGTCTGTATATCTCCTGGAGGTTCCTATTACCATTCTTGTAAATGTTTTTCTGCCTTCAGGCTGTGAACAACTTCAAAAATGGAACTGGCTACACAAAAAGGCTCCGTAAGCAGATTCAGCAGCAACAGCAGCAGCAGCCGCCACCACCTCCACCGCCACTCAGGGCTCCGACACCTCCTGCTGCTCTGGTGACGGCCTCTGAACTTGCTAAATCTTCCTCTGACAATCAGCACTTTGTTGGAAGAGAGCATAAGTTTTCTTTCAACATATGCAATAATACTTGTATTTTGCTGGAGCTTATTTTCCAACTGTTTGCATTTATTCACCAGGGCTAGCAGGTTCCTGTACTAAAGCAACCAACATTACCAAGTCTTCTGGGCCCCCAAGGACAATCAATACCCACAGCTGGTAAGTAACTCTAACTTTAGAATTTCTTCTAAAAAATTTTCTTCAGATAAAGTGAATGGGATTTTTTTCTTTTTCCTCTTCCCATGCCAAAGGTCACCCAATGAGAGCTGGTGGAGGCGTCAGTCCAGGCTGGGAACCGTAAGTATTCTACAGAAATGAAATATATTGCTACTTGTAACCTGTTAAACAAGGCAGTAACACATAAATTATACAACAGCTGCTTTACAATGAAATAAGTATGCACAGATAGTTGTGGAGAATACAAGTGGTAATTAATTTTTAAATGGCTTCATTTGGCCTAACAGAGGGGTTCCTTGCTTGCAATAAGATTATTTAAAATAAAACTCCAGTACATGACTCAAAGAGGACTCTGAAAAATTAACTCTTTTTGAGGAAACCATAATTACGTATAAAAATGAAATCTAATTAAAGGATCGGGTGAAAACCTAGCCTTTTGATTAATGGCTGAATAGGGCTGAAGAAATTGATTTCCCAATCGAAATCAGCCGCCAATAGATTTTTTTAGAAACCTAGTTAATATTGACAGATCAAATTACTGGAAGAGGCAATGCTGTTATTTTATGACAATTTTGAATGTCTTCAATTCAGTCATCTCAAATAGCCAAGCTGTTTTCTCTCAGCCGGAGAGAGAGGATCCTGTTTTATCTATTAGTGCAGTATCGAGTTATTCCTTCCTTTTGGTATATATTTGTTGTAGAGAGATTGTAAGGGTGCACTGTGTTTATAAAATCTTGAAGATCAGTCAAAACAAAAACCAGGATCCATCCCACAGATTGTCTAAGACCTCAAATTCAGTAAGAAGAAAATAAAAAGTCAGGGACAAGAACAGGCCAAATACATCATCACGAGGCAACAACACAGGAAACGTGTGGAAGAGGTTAGAAGTCTGAGAGCAGATGAGTTAATCCCTGTGCAGTACGGTGAAGATCAGAAGTGTGAAGTATTAAGTGTATCAAGGAGTGGCAGAGGAGCAGTGGGCACTTGGCTCGTGGGAGATGGGAGTCTCTTTTAAGCACAGGCAGACTCCATCCACAGTTGCAAAGCTGAGTATACGGAGAGAAGACTGAGGGAACTGCTGGGGGTGAGGGTGTGGAAGGAAGTATGAGGATCGAGAAGTGAGTGTAGTCTCAAATGAACGGAAAGCAGGGAGGGAAAGTGCTCAAGGTGAGAACAAGAAGTGCTTGCCACCGTGCTCCTGCTTCGTTCCTTCACTCTTTCAAATCAGAGCAGAGTGTAACAACAGTGATACGTGTTTTGGGGTTTCTTTAGAAGTCCAGACTGAGGACGCCACACAGGGAACATGTCCAAAGGACTCAGACCCCAACAGTACCAGCACCAACACCGGTCTTTGTGCCTGTGCCTACACCTCCCTTGCACCCTCCACCACCCCACTGCACCTCCTCTCCCACCGCGGGTACCACCACCACCACCATTTCCTCCTCAGTACACACCTGCTCAGCCCCCACCTGCTGAGTGCACTGTCCCCCCTCCAGGATATCCCCCAGCTCCTGTAAACATGTCATCAGCTTGGGTGCCAACAGCAGCACCAGCGGCTCGTTCAAATCCCACCCCAACGACACGAGCACCTCCTTTACAGAATCACAGAATCACTGAGATTGGAAAAGGCCTTTAAGATCATCAAGTCCAACCGTTAGCCCAACACTGCCAAGCCCACCACTAAACCACATCCCCAAGCACCACATCTACACGTCTCTTAAATATCTCCAGGGATGGTGACTCCACCACTTCCCTGGTCAGCCTGCTCCAACTGCTCAACAATCCTTTCATTGAAAAATTTTTCTTAATATTGATCCTAAATCTCCCCTGGAGCAACTTGAGGCCATTTCCTCTTGTCCTATCCCTTGTTAGCTGGGAAAAGACACTGACACTCATCTCGCTGCAACCTCCTTTCAGGTAGTTGTAGAGGGTGATGAGGTCTCCCCTTCGGCCTCCTTTCCTCCAGGCTAAACAACCCCCAGTTCCCTCAGCCACTCCTCACAAGACTTGTTCTCTAGAGCCTTCACATCTTCATTGCCCTTCTCTGGACACGCTCCAGCACCTCGATGTCTTTCTGGCAGTGAGGGGCCCAAAGCTGAACCCAGTATATGAGGTGCAGCCTCACCGGGGCCGAGTGCAGGGGGACGGTCACTGCCCTGGTCCTGCTGGGATTCCTGACACCAGCCAGGCTGCTCTCGGCCTCCCTTCCCTAGGGAGGAGTTTTCCAGAGAACAACAGAGACTTAAAGTGGAGTAGGCATTTGGCTCAATGAAGTTGCGCTGGTTTTCGTGTTTATATTTTGATAGCGTATCGCACTGCAGTTACACTGCATCTGACATGAGCAAAAATGGCATCGTGTTCCTTCCAATATACTTTCTCGTTGCAGATGGCAAATGTGCAAAACTAAACCAAGACACAATGTAATTCTAAAACTTTCCCTAAGCCTTGTAGGAATTCTAAACTGCTTTTGCTTACATAGGATGTCCACCTTTTGCATTTGCATGCAGTATACATTTTCTCATATTGGCCAGTGTTTTGTTTCTTGGTGTCTTTTGGTAAAAAAGGTCAAATTAGAATTGGAATAAAGGTGAAACTTCTTTTAACAGGGAAAAGAAAAAGTCCAAACTCTGATGAGTTTACAAATCATTCTGCCAAGGAACTGATGGAATATAAAAAGATTCAGAAGGAGCATAGGCGTTTCATTTTCCAGGTAACTGCCTTCCCTGTCTGTAATGGAGCAGCAGATTGGCTAGAAGAATCAGGAGGAGTTCCACTCCACCTCTCTCGTTAGGTGGACTGGATGATTCAAGGGATTAGCAGTGATAGGGGTTTCATAATGTAGGTTAGTAGCTCCAATATGGTAGAGATTACAGTTGACCGACAGCGATAATTTGGCAGCAGTTCTTACAGAGCAGGTGTGTCTTTCGGTAAAGCTTCTCTGCAGTGACGTCCTTCACCTCCTGACAGCCGTGAGGAGGCCAGAAACCGAATAGGTGCAGCTGCTGGATTTTGTGTGTCTCCCTGCTCTGATTGTAACCATTACCACAAAGCACTTCGGAGGAGATATGGGAGAGAAATTGTCTTCATTTCCACTTTTGGTTATCTCATGTGGATACGTGGAGAGATTTTAACCTGGACTGCCAGCTGGTGGCTTTCACTAGTAATTTCTTGA